GGATTACCTTGGGCAAGCCGTAGTTCTGATAAGAGCTGTTCTTGAAAAAGAGCCGTTTCTGTCAGAGCTCTCTCAGCCCCACCGACCTCACAGGGTGTCTGTTGTGGGGAGGGGGAGGGAAGGGAGTTTGTAAGCCGCTCTGAGACTCCTTTGGGTAGTGAAGGGTGGGGTATAAATCCAATCTCCTCCTCCTCCTCTTCTTCTTCTTCCTCCTCCTCCTCCTCCTCCTTATTTTTAAGTAAACTGCCCAGCACTCTAGAATAGTAATTGTTATAATAATGGCTATGATTATTACTATTATTAACAATATTGCAGCTTTGCTTTCTAACGGCTAGCTTGTTTCCCTCTCTCCGTTGCTCCGCAGAAAGGACCTTGTCCGTGTGGAGGCGACTGTCATTGAAAAGACAGAATCTTGGCCAAAAATTAATATGAGGTTTCGTCGAAAATGCCATTTCCAGAGGAAGAGAAGTAAGATTTAAAATATATATTTATAATCTCTTTCCCCCCTCAGAACACAGAATGACGTAGTTACACTTAGTTGGTGCTATACAAAACGATAGTGATGTTGGAGTATGACCTACAATGATCACATTTCCAAAGAGTGCAATGATGTGTGTGTATGTGTGTGCACGTGCAGGGCAGAACAACCCACATTATCAATAAGCCCTTTTCCATATAGCTTTCTCTGCAATAAAAGTGTTTGCTCCCTTTAGTCATACCCCCAATCTTTATGTATGAATCCACAGATGCTAACAAGCTGGAACAACAACTTTAGGCCAGCTTTGATTAGCATGTTAACAAGACAGTTTCTTTGGAATGACAGCTTATTCCTGAGTCAGATGTGTATTACTGAAACCTTTAACTGTGCTTCCCTGTGATCAGGATTACGCGATTATTTGGGCCTTTATGTTAATATTTAAAGTAATTCACCTGTAAAGCTGTGCTCTGATTCTCACTTTTCCGTTCTCTTTCAGTTATGATTCAACCACAGACTATCCTCAGGATAAACACCATTGAAGTTGCTCCCGTTCTGTCATGATGCATTCTTGGGCTTGGTTTGTTTGTCAATTTGCTTTAGGGCAATTTGAAAGTGAGACGTGTTCCTGTTGCATTCTGTCATTGCCTCTACTAGAAATCTATTAGGAAATAAAACTGTTATTTCTCATTTGGCGGTGATGGTTTTGTGACTGTGCTCATAAAACTGGTAATCAGAGGATTCCGTTCTCAAAAAAAATAAAAAAAATAAAATCAGAGGATTCCGTTCTCCTCTGATAGACATTTGGGAAGAATAATATAGAACACGTGTAGACCAGAACTTGTAACCTCTCATTCAAGTCAACCCCAGCCCATCAGCTATGTCTGGTATCCCCATGAGGAGCTCTTTAAACCTGCGTTCGTTGCCCGTCGAGGACTGCAAGGATGGGATGGAGTGGCAGTGGTGGTGTCCAGCAACAATACATGACTGGTGGACTGTGTTCATCTTGGGGTTTCCCAAGTTATACAGGTCTGACTTGAGCTTTGTTGTGTCCCTGTGCACTGAAGTATGGCTCTTCTGTTTTTGGCAATGGAAAGGGAAGACACTCATTGTCCTTATGGAGCCTTGTCTGTTTGAGGAGCAGTAAAGTCCACTGTGCATGGAATTCTCTGAATCACAGCTGTATAATAAAAGCATGAAACCAAGTGTTTGCCTTTTCCAAGAGGGCCACGTCATGCTAAAAATGCCACCCTGCACTAGGGAAGGTCTGTGGCTTAGTGACAGAACATGCAGGAAATCCCATGTCCACTCTCTGGCCTCTCCGGTTAAGAGAATCTCAGGCAGCCTTCTGTCTTACGAGACCCCAGAGAGCTACTGTCAGTCAGAGGAGACTGTACACAGCTAGAGACTCTGGTTATGGTTTGATGGCGCGTAATGCAACAGCCTTGCTGTGGGTAGGCAGGAATAGGTCTCACCAGCAATGTTCCCTCTAAGCTGTAGGGTCCTGTGAGCAAAAATTCTACTTTGTGAGCTACTGGCATGAACGTTGTGAGCGAGCGATTTGTCTCCTGCATAAATTAGTTTGCTCTGGAGCCCTCCTTCCTGAGCTCAGACAAAAATATGTGAGCTGGAGGCTAAAAAACTGTGAGCTAGCTCACACTAACTCAGCTTAGAGGGAACACTGCTCACCAGTGCCTGGATGGGTGACCTCCTGGAAATCCTATATAAGCTGCCTTAAGTGTCGTCATGGGGGGGAAGGTGGGGTTTAAATTCAATTTTCAGAAGATACCAAAGGTCTAGGGCAGCTTCATCAAAATGGATCAGGTTTTTCTGGAGTTCAGCGGTGCCGTGATTGTTACCAGCAAGCACTTTTTTCTGCTTTAGCCTGGTTTTTCCAACCACATTCTCTGATGAGATAGGCTCTAAAGCCCACATTATTGCAAGGAATGTACTCTCAGATAGTCACAACCCATTTTGTCTAAAGGAGATAAAAATCACTGCTTCACTCACTTCTAAAGCCATTAATTGAGATCCCTGTTTGAATCCTTTATTGCTTGAGTTTAATGAGGTGGATTACTAACAGTTCACTTTCCCCATTTCCTGATTCATACTGACAAAATGAACCGTTCCCCTCTTTTCAGTCCTCTGGGGAAGCTGCTTAACCAAAAACTGATGACCTGTGAGGAATAACCTGCATTGCTACATGGGAGATTAATTCATTGTTGGCCTGATTTAATATCTGCTTTTATAATTAACTTTACAGGAGCAATATTGTGCAAACTTTGTTCTACGGTGCAGGAAATGTCATATAGGTTTTATTCAGAGTGCTTACCTGGTGCAAAAGTGGGAGAAATTTGGTAAGATGCTAACTTTTAACTGGACTCACTTCTGTTAGTGAGTACTGACTTTTATCCCTCAGAAAAATTCTTCAACCAGGTTGAGAATGCCTACTTTACCAGTCCATACGAGTTTTTTAACAGCAGTTTGGTTCCACTGAAGTCAGCTGTTACATCTGATATAGTCTATAGTCTATGGGCTAATTCTCACAGGTATGTGTATCACCTGATAGCTGTAAGTGATGACCCTCGAGACCCAGCACCACAAGTCAGACTTTCACATCTGCTGTTATATCCATTACATTGCAGTAGGTTAAGTTCGCACATTTGGCTCCCAGTTTCCAACTGCAGAGAAGGGAAGTGATATACCTGCATGCCTGACCCCGTTCTTACTTGTGTTTAGTTGTTAAAATTCTTTGAATTCTAATGAACAATATCCAGTCAGCTGATTTCTCTTTCATTGTCTTAGAAGCTGTAGTGAACAGGAATCTTTTAAAGCTTAAAGGCAGACATAGGTACACTTTGTTCAAATATTTGTGGCTGTCCTAATTCTAGGAGAGGAGCATTACAACTCCAACTGTAGTTTTTTTTTAATTAAAAAAAATTAGAAACAGACTGGTACTCGGTCTCAGCATGGTCTCTTTTGTGTCTGTGTTTGGATGTTTGTATGACAGTTTTGTTGGGAGTCTTTGGACTCATATGCTAACCGGACTTATCAAAGATTTTCACATTACCATTCTAAACTGGATGTTAACCGCGCGATAGGGATGAAAGCTGGGCGGATTTTACAGGCCGATCACATGGGAACATCTGGCAAGTGTCCCGTACCCGTTGGCAATCTGTATCACCCCGCCGAAGATGCAGAGTACAAAGATACCTGGGAAAGTGCAGTATTTTCTTTTCTTTTTTTTCTTTTTTTGAAGTCCCCAGAGGGGATTTTTTATTATTTTTATAAATCTACAATGGAGCTGCGGTGGCTCAAGTGGTTAAGACGCTGAACTGCAGGCTGTGGAAGGTCAGTAGTTCAGCGGTTCAAGACCCGGGTGCCGCAAGACAGGGTGAGCTCCTGTCTCTAGTTCCAGCTCCTGCCAACCTAGCAGTTCGAAAGCAAGAAATTGCAAGTAGATAAATAGGTACCACTTCGGTAATACTACAGAAAATAATAGGGATGGGGTACTATTGGGAGAAAGGAAAGAAACCAACTAATACCTAAAAACCCAAGAGAGGAGATCCTCAAAAAAGCTTAGTTACAGTAAGTCATAACTTGTTTAAATCAATATGAATTGAGTCAAGTTTTTCACACCTTTTCACTTTTCTTTAATTTAACTGCTCAGAAACCATACCCCCCATCATCACATTTTTACATCATTTACTTCAAGGCACATTTCAGAGTCCTTCAGCCTCTATTTCTCTTTTCCTCGTCTTTTCCTCAGTTTATAGGGACTTTTTGGAGCAGCAGCCCCTTGCTTCGCCGGAGGGAAAGCGCAGTATTTTCCGGTAAAAGCAGGGCGTGAGCGGGCGGCGGATCACGGAAGCACTGGTATCCCGTCGCATCTGGCACCCGTCTGCATCCCGTCTCACACCGGATGTGGTTTTTTTAAACCTCTGTGGTCATGCGCATGCGGGAACTCCAGTTTGAAAAAAGAAAATGCCCGTCTGATCGGGAAGTGGTGGCTTGCGATTGCCACATGTGTGATCGTGCCATCCTGCTTCTTTCTCCCCCCCCCCCTTGTTTGCCACGCTTCACCATCAACATGTGATCGGCGGCTGACGGCCTGAGCACGGAGCATCAGAAGAGCATCTGATCGAGCTACCATGCTTCATTTTGCTCCGGGGCAAAAAGCCTCATTTCATCCCCCAGATTATCTCGCTCGTGTGACCAGGGCCATTGTTGGCCCAATTTCAGGTAAAGTAATACAGGGACAGAGGTTTCATCCAGCAAATTTCCTTCCGTTAATGAGCCATCTCTGAAACACTATGGTCATTTCAAACAATGGAGTGAATGGAGTCACAGCATCTCAATGATGCCGCTATAGTCCTAAAGTGCTATATTGGTTTAGCACTATAACACTCAACTTAGAACTTTTTTTTTTAAGTCTGCGGAAGATCATTCAGTGAAAAAGGGCAGGGGGAAAGGTGGCATTGTAGGAAACACTATAGACATTTTAAACAGCACACCACAGCAATTCAGAAGTGCATTGAAGGGGGTAGAAAATGGAAAGCCATTTCCCTCAAAAGCGGCTCAACCACGCTTTGCTAATCTGACGCAAGTGGGTTTTGTATGAACAGGTAAATAAATTCTGCTAGCAGCTGGTGACTAAAAAGGGTCTGTCTAAAATGACAGGGGGAAAAATCCATTAGCACCCAGTTACGAAAAGGGAATACAAAGGTAGTTTGAAAATGGCCATCTTCTCAGCATGGCACAGATTCAGTCTGGCTGCGGACAGAAAATATGTATTAGTGGCTTGAATTCAGAAATGCTGCGGATGAAAGGAAACGTGTTTCTGTGTCTGTGAAGTATAGGGGCCATGCAGTTGAAATCATTACTAAAGGAAAAAAAATAGTCTTGGGACAGTTAATTGCCCTGGTGCATATCAGTGAACCAGTTTGTATGGCATGCTAGGCAAAAACGAGCTTGCAAATGTGCCCGTGCTCCAATTGTAGCAGTTAATCTTGTTGAAGTCAGTGGCAGTAGTCATTAGTAATACTTAGCATGCCTGCAGTATTCACAAGCTGTTACATACATGAGCTCAATCATCCATACAACTACTCTGTAAAGTAGCCCTATGAGAGGGAGAGAGCGCACAACTTGCCTGAAGCAACCAGATGAGTTTACGCTAAAGGTGAGACTCGAACTAGGAACTTCTTTGAATCTCAGTATTTATGATTTATATTTATTTATTTTATTGTTTCTATTTGTATCCCGCCTTGCCGGACACGCTGGCTCAAGGCGGCCAACAAGATCAAAATATAAAACAATCCGAAATTAAGACTGTTCAAAACAACATCCTAGTTAACAACATCAATAGATAAAAACAGCAAATGATGGCGGTATTCAAGTCGGCCCAATGGTAGGGATAGCATCCAACAAAATCAGATGATAACGACGTTCCAAGTCAATTCAGTGGTAAAAGTAGCATCCAGCATGGTCCCCGGGCCAGAAGATTACAGGCACGTTCATCAGTGGCTCTGATGTCCTCCAGGAGCTCATTCCACCAGTGTGGAGCCACCACTGAGAAGGCCCTGGCTCTGGTGATAGCCAGTCTGGCTTCTTTCGGACCAGGGAGTGTCAGGCGGTGTTGTGAGCCTGACCTCAGTGCTCTCTGGGGCACATATGGGGAAAGGCAGTACACTCCTAAACATCTCCCAGAGCCTTTAAAATAAATCTCCCCTGGCAAAAGAAGAAGAAAAGTAAAGATAAGAAGAAACCTAAGTGATGACCTGAGATTACCTATGTTGACATTTATTAAATTTACATTATCCTCCAGATGTGATATAATAACCAAAAATACCTTTTCTTTCCATTTGAATACTTTTATTAGAACTTAAATAACTGAATGTAACTGTAAACATGTAGTTAAATATCTAAAGCATTTGAATAGCTTATCAAAGCACCTTGTTACTCTCTTTTGTGGTTTTAGTTTTGTAGTTTGTAGTGGAAAATCAATAAAAATTTATATATATTTTAAAAAGTACACTCCTAAACATGCATTGGATGTTTAGGATTTACTTGGATTTACTTTTGTGGGGTTTATTCTCTAGGAAGCATGCTTCTTCAGTGCAATCTTATGCCGTTACGCCAGTGTAACTCCATTGATTTCATTGGCGTTAATCTTGGAGTAACTCTACCTAGGACTGCATTGTCTTGTAGTCACTATTGGATGATAGGTGAAAAAGGCTGCTCAGGGTGACTAGTTAATTCAGCTAGGATAGCATTTTATGTGTCTAAAGTCTTTGAATAAGGCGTGTCCCCCAGCTTTTTAAAATCTATGCCGCTGTCTTAGTTATTTTGTTGCAGCAATCAAAAGCGTGCCTCGTGGCTATTCACAAAGCAGAACTGCATGCAATTAGCGGAGGCAAATGCTCTTCTAAGAAAACACGCATACAGTGTAATTTCATTGACCCGAGTGACCTGGAAGAAGGCCAGAATACTCAGCTAATCAGAAGCTGAGATAAATGGGAGTGCTGTTTAATTAG